CCTAGCCCAGCCCAGCCCCTGCACCCCTGGGACCTGTGTGCTTTCTCCTCAGGGAAAGTCAGAGGCCTCCGCAAAGGGACAGAGGAGAGCTTGGGCATGGCTGGAGAAAGGTTTTGTTAGGGCTTTTAAATTAAACAACAACAGCAATAACAAATCACACTGCAGAAACCACATCTCTGTTTGTAAGCTCATTAGTATGGAAAACCCACTACCAGGTTTCCCAGCGTACACCCCCTACCAGGAAACCCCTGTTTGCCTACTTCACACATGCCACGCACCTTCACGGAAGCTTCTAGTAAGTTTCTGAGTTGTGCAGCTCTCACCATGGTGGTCACGTCAGGAACACTATGGATTCCAGAAGGAAGCGGCTGACACACAGGATCAGTCGCCCTCACCTCCTTCTCACACATGCTCAGAACCCCCCTATCGGCACCTCCCCCGGGCCTTCAGTGGACACTGTTTTCAGTGGAATCTTGCTATCCGGGTCTTTTCCTGTTCTTAGATTTCCAGATGCACCCATTTCGCACCACCAGAGCCTCCTTTTTTTCCTGTCCAAATCATACTCTATTGTGTGGCTGTAGCATCTGTGTTTCTCCAGTGATGGTTAGGAATAAATCACACCTCATTTCTCCACACAAGCCGGGTGGGAACACTTTCCTCTCACTTGAGTGTCCACCGAAGGCAGGAATCGGTGAATCACGCACAGGTGGCTACTGTGCTTAAGGTTTTGAAGACATGCCAGACTGCTTTCCTCAGCGTTCACCTTTGCCTCTTAGAAGTAGGGGTGGGAAGGTGCCAGCCTCACCCGCTGCCTGAAGGTGTACCATCTAGAGCGCCCAGGGCTGTGGAGTGCAGCTGGCAGCCAGCAGTTTCTGAGGCAGGAGGAGGCTAGGCATCTTTTTCCTGCAGAAATGGTCATCCAGGCACTCTGCCTCTCTGAATTAGTGACCTCATTAGTAACTAAGACCAGAGACTTCCTTACACACTATTCTTACCAGACACCATCTGTTAAATCCTTAGATATGGGATTCCCAGATTTTATTCCCCCTCCAGTCTGTAGGTTTCTGTTTTACTTAACTGTTTTTGTTTGTTTTGTTCAGTTCTGAGACAGGGTCTCCCTACACAGACCTTTCTAGCTTACTATGTAGACCAGGCTAGCTTTCTGTGTGTTACTTGGATCATAGGCCTGTAGCACTATGCTCTGTTAAATTTTTACTCTTTATTTTTATTTTGCTGCACCTATTTTTCTCTTGTCACTGTGCTTTTTTGTGTGTTATGACTGAGAAATCGATACCTGATTCTACCACAGACTTCTAATGAGCATTTGCAGTTTTAACTCAGACCCTGGAGTTCTACAGTCACTGGGCTGAGCTCTGACCTTGATCTGCCTGGGTCCCTTTTATTCTTCTGCAGATGTGTATCCCACTGTCCCACAATCACATGCTTGGAGCAGTTCCTTCCCCCATTGAGCTGTGTGGGACCCTGGGGAGAATCAGCTGACGCAGAGATTGGCTTTCTGCTTTCTGTAGTATGAGTCCTTGTTCCAGGCCATGGCTGCATCAGTGACTGCTTTTCGGTGTGTTCCGAAGTCTGGACCCATGATCTCATTCTCATCACTGTCCCCTGCTCTGTGCCTTTCACATTTCTACAGGGTTTTATGGATCACTTTGCCAATTTCTACAAAGAAGACTGCATAGGTTTTGTTGAAGGGAATGGCCAGAATTTGTCAACCAATGGGAAACACAACCTAAGGTTGAGTGTCCCTAGTGCACAAATATGGGCCCCTTTCCATACAATCAGATCTACTTTCATTTTATTTAGCCATGCCTCACAGTTACCAGTGCATATTGTGCCTGTGTTAAATTTGTTTTTGAGTGTTTTCTTCATTCTTATAACATTGTCAGTTGTTTTCCCAATTTCACTTTTAGGTGTTCACTGCTGGTGCATGGAGTTAAGCAGTTTATTCTTGTGTGCTAATTAATGCCTGTCACTATGCTCCACCTCCAAAGCATACCCTTTATAAAACAAGGAAATCTTTTCCTTCCAACCAGATGGGCAGGCATAGGAAGGAATAATGATGCCCACGGTCAGTGAGTATGAAGAAACCGTGTTCTCATACATTACTGGTGGGTTTAGTGGAGGCTGGAAGTCAGTTTGACAGTGTAGCTAAAACGGCTTGAAATGAGCCTGTCCAGAGATTTGACCTGAAGAAGGTGGCTGGGGATACCCACAGAAGAACCTGGTGATTGGACACATTGCACTCAACTTGGCTGAATACGTGTGTGCGCAAAGCACAGTGAACAGGATCCTTAGGCTGACACTGCTCTGCAGGGTGTCTTCTCACCGCTAACCTCTGTTTATAGGATGAGGCTTAAATAAATGTTACTAAATATTAACTACAGTACTTGAATAGGCCTACCATGAACTGAGCTGTGTCTCTACCTATGTGGTCCCCAAGATCCATTTTAGACCTACTCTGCAGGCCTCCGTGCTGCCAGCTGCCCCCTTGTGGTCTGCTTCTAACACTGCAGGCAGTAGTCCTTAAACATCCTAAGGTTGACCTTGTTGGTCTCTGGATTCTCAAAACCCTGTGTGGTTTCCAGCTTCCCTAGGAGGGAGGAATTGCCCTATGTGACCCATCCTCCAGGACCTTGCCTTTCTTATCTATCTCTGGATCCCTCCATTGGGCTCTACACCTTGCCGTCTGCCTGCTTTGCCTCTGCTTTGCTCTCTTCCTAAAGGAAAGTTTGGGCACTGGGTCTCACCTCCCCCGACTCTGCTTCTTGCAGCACCTTCCAGAACGTGGTGTAGCTTGCTTTTTAGTTCTATTATAGCTCACTGCTTGTCCCACACACTGGGCTGAAGGATTGGAGAAGCTGTGTTTCCTTTGAGGAGATATTTTAGACTCTTAGACTCCGTGCCTGGCTCTCGGTAATGTTTACTAAATAAACACATGGTGACTGTTATTTTTTTTATTGGCCTGAACAGATTTTAAAAAACTGCATCTTGGCCTTCTTAAATAACTTCTTGCATTGCATAACGTGTTGTATAAGTGTTTTTATTACCAAAATAATACAGAAGATGTATAAAGATGTCTGACGTCCTCTTTCTAGCTCCCACAAGCTGCGGCTTTCTTCCCGAAGTATCTAGCTATATCTACTACCCACCCGTCAGTCTCTCCTCTGTCTGTCTTTTCTGTATTCCTAATATATGTTTGTACTGCTCTATGCTCATAGTGTTTGTGCCATGCAGTTTCAGTGCTATCTAACTTTCCCTTTAAGTAAGCATTCCAGAGTAAGGACGAGCTTCCATCATTCAACTGACAGATGGTCGGCTGTTTCCTTTCTTCTTCCCACAGAAATGCTGTAAAGATCACCCTTTGTACACATGGTGTAACTCAACCATATTAAATCAGTAATTGTGGTATTGCTGAAGGCAAGCGGAGTTACGAAAGGAGAGTCAGTTGAGATGCCGCATCAATCAGCACAGCTCTCTTTATCTGGTGAAACGATCTCGTGAAAAATCACCTCTGAGAAGATCCACTACCCACCCTACCTGAAGCCCAGGGAGTTGCACCTCCTTTCCTTCCTGGGTAGTTCTAGTGTACGTGGTTCCACTGCTCACAGCAGTTAGGGGGCGCCCCCTGTGGGATAAAGACATGACTTCACTAGAGGTAGCTCACACCTCAGCCACCTGGTTCAAAAGGCAACAAACACTGCATCTTCAAGGTGCTCCGTGGGAGAGATTCGAACTGGACTCTTGTCCGAGGTGGAGGAAAACTGCAGCTATGCTGAAGACGAGGTCAGCACTCATGCCCATCTGAAGGCCTGGAGCCCACATCACCATCTGCCCATAAAAACCCATGGATGTGAAGGAGAGGCCAGGTGGATACAATAATTGGTTACCAGGCTCTCAGCCTTGAGTACACCATACCCTGTTACTTGTGATCAGGCTTTGCAATGGTTCTTCATGGCTCCTAGAGGCTGCAAGAAGTTAAGCATCTTGGTTTTCTAGTACAAACTGCAACTGAATGACATGCTATTAGCTGCCACTCTCCTGTTTTCAGAGAGCAGTGTCAGGCCCAGTGAGAGTGAACCACAGAGAAGCTGTGACCCCATGTAAGGGGTCACTGAGGTATGCATACTGTTTCCACCTGAGGTTCCTGGGAACAAGTAAGAAAGTTGACAACCATGGCTAAGATTTCCAGTGTGCTGTGCCCGAAGCTGCTTGACCCCCATAAATGCGCCACGCCTCACACTCTAGTATTTCGACTTGATTTACAAAGACACATTGTGCTTCTACAATGTTAAGGAGTCATGGAAGAGCCAGATCAGTGTCAGCTTCTAGTTTATTATAGGCATGAAGCCTTATCGTACGCTTCTGCCACATCCAAGTCCTGTCAAAGAGCCAGATCATTTATTGCAAACATCAAGACCTAACTGGATTGCCTTTCTCTCTATGTGTTCAGCATCCAATAGTACCATCCAGTGGTATTTCAATCCTGACTCCTTTCTTGGAGACAATGCTGAGGGGAGAGACTCGATTATCAAGACCTTGGGAAGGGCTGGGATTATCCTTCCCTGGGATCCACCAACAGTGGGAAAATGCACCATGTAAGCACGGGAATGATGTGTGTCTAGTGTATAGGTACATGTATGTATACACGTGTCAGTGTACATGTGGTATGTAAAGGGGACTAGTGTATGTGTGCCAGTACATGCATGGCTGTGCATATGTGTACAAGGTGTGTATGCGTGTCATACTAATCTATGGTCATTGGTGACTATATTCATGTGATGTTATGTGTGTATTCATGTGATATGTGTATGTGTATGTGCACACATGCCTGTGAAAGCATGTATAATATGTATGTGTGCTTGTGAATGTGGGTCCTGTGCATATAGTGTGTGTGCGCATGCATGTGTTGTGATTGCATGTATATACACATGCATGCATTTTCCTGTATTGGAAGCAGAATATGGTTTACTACAGCTAAGTAATACTTAGCTACTTTTTTATACCTTAACGTTTCAGGATATCATTATAAATATGTGGCTTTATATAGGAAAATAATTGAATTAAAGATAAAGAACTGCCTTTCAGTGTGTGTGTGTGTGTGTGTGTGTGTGTGTGTGTGTGTGTGGTTACTATCTCTAAACATAATTCTTCATGAAAAGTCACCTCTACTGTTGTGGTCGTCAGTATGGTGTGGTCAGCACTAGGCCTAATGCATGTCACGGGGTCATAGGCTGTAAGGGACTCACTGTGAGGAGCAGATGGCTTGTGGAACTGCAGTCAAAGTGGCTGTGTGCTGTTTTTCACCCCTGCTGTAGTTCTTGTGAGGTGGGCATTCGTTCTTGTTCTCCCTTCAGTTTGAGTAGCCCTGAGGAAGGCCTAGGTTCACGCCACAGAGGGAACTGGACCCTTCCACATCAATCATCAATCAAGAAAACACCCTCCAGACAGCCTCCAGGCCAGTCTTACGGAGGCATTTCCTCAATGGAGAGTTTGTGTCATGATGACAAAATACTAACCAGCTCATATACCACTTGAAAATTAACTTCATGAGCTCAAATAAATACGTAAATATCAAAATTTAATTATGTAATCCCAAGAAGCAAGGAACTAAAGGAAATTAAACACCATGTGGCCTCCTTACTATTGCCTCCTCTCTACTAAGTACCCATTGGCTACCAGGCCCTGTGTTCTTTTGTTTACATCTTGAGGTGACTTCTGGATACCTGTTTGTCTTTTCATTGCACAGTGGGAGATCTGATTTCAGGAACTGACTCGGATCAAAGTCAGACTGGTGTGGATCCTATCGAGTCACACACACCACACAGAGCAGAGCAGAGCAGAGGGTTAGGAGCCTCTCCAGGAGTCACACAGCTAGTCCCGTTTCACACACAGAAATGAGATGGCTAGAGAAACCCTGATACCTTGGCATTCCCATGGGAAAAACAAAGCTTCTGAGCCCTGGGTGTGTCTGGGCATATGGTCTCCTAATGCTGGTCTCCCAGGTGGAGTGGGTCTTCCTGGACATTGCTTTGAGGTCTGGTTCTCACAGTCATTTTTCTTATGTCTGCTCGGCTGGCTTGTGCCCCACGTAGTCTGGCTGCTCATCTCTGCCTGGGCTTCCAAGATCCCTGGTCAGGGGCTGCCCATCCTTCAGGACACATGCCTGCAGCCCAGAGTCCCTATGCCCAGGATGTGGCACAAGTCAAGTGGTAACCCCTCCCTCCACCTCATTCCCATATTTCTCCCACCTGTGGAAGATTTCTCCAGACCCTCTGAGCTCTCAGAATTTGGTCACTGGTGAGGTGGTCTTATGCCTTCCTGTTACTATAGTCTGTCTCCTTCCTTTTGTGGGCACCAACCCATTGTGGCTTTTTTTGTTTTGTTTTGTTTTTTCCTGTTTCTGACTTGGCCTTTATTCCCTTTGCATTTGCCAGTGTTAGGAACATTCCAGAACGGATACCTCAGTCATATGCTCAAGCCAAATGCCAAACAGCAGTGAGATTATTTAATCCTCCCAATGACGCAGCCCAGAGACTGAGTCAATGCATTTGTGGATCATCTGAGCTTAAATGGAGGTTGCAA